TAAGTATAAAATTGCTCACTATCTCACCCTTGCGACGCTCACTGCCTACCAACAATTCGAAGTTTTACCAGTGTCTCAGCTTGGCCAGGAACTTGTCCCCCGGGTAATTCGAGCACATCGAACCTGAGTATCACGTCCGTTTTACGCGAGCACGATTGATTCTCTGCCTAAAGGTGCTGACGACAACAACGAGAAAACTCGTGACTCATGATGGCTTGACGTCGGCACCTATCCAGCATGACGCAGACTAAAAGCATCTTCTGGTCAGGCTGATGTGATGTTCGTGTTTATAGGTTGAAATTCTGACCTCAAATTCGAATTGTGGGACAGGTGATGAGTATCCCAAGGTTTAGATAGAGTCGCGGTAATCTACTCTTCACTGCTCTTCACTGTCTATGGAAGTGAACTCAACTAGCGACTGATCTCTTTACTATTAACCAGCAAAGTCGCCCAAACTCTGCAGTGCTAGTACCAAAGCTAGTTTCAGACTACAACTCGGACTGATCGACAGCGGCTAGAGTCGGCCTTCATGACTGCTCAATGAGGCGGGGGCGGAGGTGACGTGAGCATTTCTCGCGACGGTCTACAGACAACTTGAACTCAATTCTTTTGAGCGCATTTTCATAGTTTCTTGTCATAGCTTCTTGCACGTTTCGATGCTTTGGCAAACGCTGTCCCTATTTGTCGGTTTCTTGGTTTTGCAACAGGACCATGCACAAAATTTTCAAGATGTCATGTAACCCCCTCGCCACTAGTTGATCCTCTTCCGGCTATGTCCGTGCGTGTGGGTGTGTGTGCGTCTGTCTGTTTGTCACAAAATTCATAGCAAACCTGGTGGCTAAAGAAGGAACAATCGGGTCATGGCATGGGACAATACATGAATAGCACCCGTGACCCATGGTAAGCCCCGCCCACATTGGGCGGGGCGTGCCTCCAAACACGATTTACCAGTTTAGAAAAATCCTGGTATGACCCTAGAGCACTACAGATGGCGCAAAAAAAGTGAATTATTGTCCCCAAGTGATCACATGTTGAGATGGGCACTCCCGTTGTGGGCGGAGCGTGCGCCGAGGCAAATTTCAAAAATCGCAAAACGGTTCCAGAACACTTCCAGACACCGGGAAAAAGTAGTTTAAGATCAGCGAGGGGTCACCGGTTCACAAGTGTGAGGCACACCCGTTGTGTGTGGAGCGTGCGGCGAGTTGGGTGGAGTCAAAAAAAAGTCCCTAAAACACATCCAAAGCACTCCAGAAACCGGGAAGAAGTTGATTAATGCCAGCGATGGGTCACCGGTTGAGAAGCGCGAGGCATACCCGTGAGCGGACGTGCTGCGAGGTGGGCGGAGCCAATTTTAAGGATTACTTAAACGGTTCCAAAATACTCCAGACACCGGGAAGAAGTAGGTTAAGGTCATTGAGGGGTCACCGGTTCACAAGTGTGAGGCATACCCATTGTGGACAGAGCGTGCGGCGAGGCGGCCGGAACCAGTCTTAAAAATCATCAAAGCAATTCTAGAGCGCTCAAGACACTTCAGACCTCCTCTGTGATACGGCCCGGCCTTGCGGGCGTGGCTCCATCGCGCCTACCTGCTTTCGTATGATCAAATGCTCGACTAATACCCGGCTTTTCTCTCATCTTTCCACTCAGCCAACCTCATTACCACCGTTCCATGCACTGTAATAGTGTTAAAAATAGCAGGTATGATGCTATTGGTCAAAGAATGTTGACCATCTGTTCAATAAAAGAAAAGCCGGATACTAGGTGGGTATTGAAATGTGTGGAAGAAGGTAAGCGCGGCGGAGCCGCGCCCGCTCGGCGAAGCCGTGCCGTATCTCACCTCAGGAAGGGGTGGGGCGTCAGCCGGCAAGCGGACTGGTAGAACAGTAACTCCATAGCCTTAAATCATAGTGACCACTTCTACATTTGACCTGCCAAGTCAGATACTTGTCCTACACGCACTGCTGCATCGTTAACTTGAGGGATTTCAAAAACTGGGGTGAGAGCTCCTGCTCGAGACAAAGCAAAAATTTTCGCGCCAACGGGGAAGCACCCCTGCGAACCCCTGGAACTGAAGCGAGATCGTCACCATTAGGCCACATAGATTATGTACGATAACGAGTGTTGTTCCATTTGACGGAGTGCACAGTTAGAATCAGCTAGGAGCCCAGCATTGGTCAGCAGGATGGAGTTGGTTCTACTTTTCGACAGCGCTGATCGCACAACCACCGGTAGCACCGACATCCCCGACCGGTAAGCTCTGCTCACTTGTCAACACTGCAACATGCTTCGACCTCTCACAACTTGTTTAGGAGATCCCTATTGCACTTTTAATCTACATACTCGCGATCAGCATTCGAGGCTCTATAGATGTACCTAAGTCTCCGTTCAAAGTTCCATGTGAATTTGAAGTTCACATGGAATTTTGAATAGAGACTCCCCATGGGGTCGTTCCCTTATCACTAAAATTTACTCGGGAACGTTCGGTTTCAGGTGGTAGCTGAAGGACCGGATATCGTAATACATCAACCTGAATCTGTCCTTCGAAATATGGAGGAGTGGCCAAGAGAAACCTTTACACAAAATGGTCTTCTCAAGAAAATACGCGAAAGTACTATAAGCTTGCGCGAAGCAGAAGATATGGTGAGACACTGAGAAGTTTTCTCTTTATTGTATCACGATTCCAAACTCAGAAAGAGCGTGAATAGTTATTGCGGTTTTTGGTGCCCCAGTTTCTATATTATTTTTGTACCTTTTTGCGAAGTTATTCTCACGCTCTGTAAAATTTTGAAAAGCAGTTCTGTATCCAGTAGCTCAAGGATTTCATTTTGAGATAGCTTTTCCATTTTTCTGTTCGACGAAACTAACATGGACAAATGACAGGTTTGCACAACCGTTCTATTTCAGTTTTATTCAGCAGCAATGCTACGAAAACTACTACTAGCTACGCTAGCTATAAGCTACGGTATATTAACGAACTTCGGCTTTGGAGCGGCGACTGAAGGTACTGCGCAGTGGTGGTTCGAGTAAATTGTAACGACAACGAGAGCCTCCAAGATTACGGACGTGGTGGGTGCTCATCACCCTCGGGACTGAATTTCAAGCAGGACGGTTATTACCCACTGTTGGTACCCACATGCCACAAAAGATCGGAGAGTCGTGGAAGCCTCATAAGTGGGAGCCGCAGAATTCAATATGGGTCAGAAGAATCCTTGTTCCAAGTGCCCTGCTTTTTACGCCACATAATTGACCTAGCTCAGGGCAGAATCCAGTGTGTAATGAGAAGTAGATTATGCACAGCGACGTACATATTGAAGAAAACGAGGGAGGTTATAACTTCCGTATCAGCCATATTCCCCAGACTCGGCTTCCACCGACTACCACTAGGCATCTTGACTGGAAGAAGTGCTTTAAAGCCGACATGTTCGGTTCGCGATGAATACAAACGAGTGTCTAAGATTTTCAGAAGGGCGAGCATTCTGCTTTTTAGATGATCGAGATTGATGCGGTTGTAGAGGTTTTAGGTTTTTCAACCATGATCTGAGCTGACCTTTGCTATATGAATTAGCAAACATCCTGAGGAGATGTTCTTCATGCTCAGCTGCTACAGATATGGCCAATGTCGCTGAAAGTCACATCGTCGGGAAAACGCCGCGAGATCTCCGAACTTGTCTCTGTTGGAAGCATTTTCTGATACAGAGCTCAGTATTGTTACGTAAAGAAGTCAGTCACGGAAACGGTCGAGTTGTTTTGAACTCAATGACGATAGCCGCCTCACTGTGCTCAAAAGTTTGGTAAAATCACAAACATCGCCCACTGTCCTCATGACAGTGTCTTGAATCTAGCTCGAGTAATTCTCTTTGTATACTACGTAGGTGAACATCGCAGATCAAGGCTATGATATCTCATGTTTCACGTATACAGTAGGGATTGTAGAGGCGTATACACAAAAGCAAGTGAAAATAGCAGAAGTGTGATCGCTGCTGAAGCGTCGAGGCTATGGAGTCTCCCTTAGGCCCATAGCATGCTACCGGTCGCTATCAGCTCCTCGATATTACTTGCCCTTCTATGCCGTAACCATCCGAATGTGAGAGTGATGAAGAGAGAGCAAAGAGCTGAATATCGCGTATAAGTTAACATACGCAGTGGTAAACTGTACTCATAGTATTGCCATAGAATGGGATCGGCATGGAATCCCATTCAGGGCACTTCTGACAGTTTTTTCCGGCTTTTTCCTACCTTAGTCCATAACATTGGTAGTTTTTCAGTTCGTCTGACGACTTTAGTGTGCTCCTGAGGAAACATTTTCGTCAAAATTATCAAAGAATACTTTGGCGCGATTGACATCAACTTCGTATTGTGCCATGCATCTGAACCTCGTTAGAAAGGTGTTACTTCTAGACAAGCTTTCGCTTATTGCCTCCTCCGACCAAGGTGCAACATGCCGATCCAAACGCCTGTTGCAACCGCCCACCCATAAAAACTGCACCGGCCCAGCGATGCCGATATTCTTACTTCTTCATTCACGAACTACAAGTGATATGAGTGGCTGCACTGCTGCACGGGTATGCGAATACATGCACACAGCCGTATCTAATATAGCGGTTTCGCTTTCTGTCAGCCGCGTACTCGTCGAATATCATACAGAACGGTGGCTTTCTCTCAGGTCCTTGGAAGTTTCGCTCCGCTTTTTTTGTTATTTCTCCGAGAAGCTTCGTATTTCGACCAGTAACAGAATATCGTGCCTCAAAATTTATTTCGTTTTTTCAAAACTTCGAATTAAGCAAAGTGTGGTTAAGCTGAGCTTTAGCACAAAATGATCATTTTACTCCAGTCCATTATTGATATAAACTTTACATCAACTTTTCGTGAATTATTCATATGAATCTTTGGCTTATGCGGTTTCTATATTTCTACCAACTGTTCATTATTGCCAGGTGTTGGAGTTTCTGAAAAAGGAGACGGTGAGGGGGAAATGTCCGTTGGCAGGAAATAGTGTTCATATGGACAGAAGGTAAATTTACTATTCGGTGGCCCCTTTTCGACAGCGTTGCTCCACATATCTTACTCAGGTTCATCTCCAAATATATGTCCCGTCTCGATGAACATTTGCACTACCGTATTGTCGACGTTTCTACTGTCAAAGAGGTGAACTAGAACCGTGATCCACATATTTCTTATTTGCATCGGTTCATTTGCAGCTAGCTTCCAGATGGTTTCCTGATGAGTACGCCAAAGCACCGTTGAAGAAAGGTACTCACAGAGCTTTAGACGATATCCGTGAGAGCATTGAAGAACTGCGCTACTATCGCTCTGCAATTTTTCGACAGTGATCCACATACTCTTATACCTTCTTCAGCATCTGGTTTCTTGAAAGATTTCGCTGTTCAAGGGCGCGATTTGCTTTGTTATACGAGACATTAAACATGCAGGGTGTCAAGAGAATGTTTGTTCGTTTGCATGTTGTGTATTTTGTAACTCTGAGTGCGTGAATGTGGTTGCTTGTTGAAAGAGCTGCAGCTTGAATGTAAAAAATTGAACCAAAATAGGTTGAAAGACTAAAACTAAAATAGAATGACTGTCTAGAAGGTTGAAAGCACATTTCGTGACTGACTAGAAGGTTGAAAGCACATTTCGCGATGGAAAGGCTCGTGCGTTGGGGTCCTAAAGAAGGAACGGGCAATTCTTTGAAAGGTCCTGGATTGGACGAGTGTTCTTAGAAGCGAGACGCAGTTCCCATGAGAAACT